ATAGTCGTGAAAACCCTTCAAAGGTCTTTATAGAATTACCCATTTGCCTTTATACCTTATCATCCATCCACTTTAATGGGAAAGGTAGTCCATTAAGGTTCATTAAAAACGTCTTGTAGTTAATTTCCTTTAATGGAAGCCGATACTTTTCATAAACCACTCCAGGTGCCACAGACGTGATTAGCTGGCGGAGTTTTTTACGATAATCTGTTCCATATTGGGTGCAGCTTTCATCTCCACACTCTGCGTCAAGGGTACCATTTGTCACGCTAACAGGGGTGCGCTTGTACGTTTGTGGTTTTTGGCCCTAATTCTGCTGCCTTTTTGCTGTTTATTCCCCTTCGTCAGAAATCTCGATTGCACGCTCCAGTCAGGAGGAGAGGCGCTGTGGAGGTAATTTATATATGTGTGTGTGTGTGTGTGTGTGTGTGTGTGTGTGTGTGTGTGTGTGTGTAGGAGAGAGGCGGGTAGGATAACACCTGGCCTAGCTTACATACCGTACAATAACTGTGGCTATAAGATTTCCAGCTTTCCAAACCTGCTTAACTCACATAAATCCAGCTGCGAAAACACCCGAGATACGTTGATCGAATCAAATCTAGAGGAAGCCAGAGCTGCACGGGATAAAATGTGCCGAGTTCATTTCCTCTATAAGAAAATATCTTGAGAGAAGCACAGATAACATCTCTGCTTATGTTGTGCATATACTGTCACAATAACTGCTTCTGTTGGACGATATTGTCCCAGAAATAATTAATCTGAAGAAAATCATTGTCATTTAAGATATAATTATAATATTAAAGCATAATCTAGACAGTCAAATAGTCTTGGAAGCATTATGAATGGTCAAAACTGTTGTTAGATGAACACAGTTATAGTAAAACCACAACGGTGTGTCTCACTGCAGCAACAATCAAGATATGAAGAATCTACAGGAGGCTTTAGGGAGTCTTTGCGCCCTGAGTTTTGCCTCGCAGGCTGCTCCTTACATCATTATTTAGCTTGTTGGAGGATGAGATAGGAGCTGTCTGCAGACGATGCTCAGGGCAACAAAACAACCTGTTGTTCTCTTGTATATCTTTCTTTGAGCACAAGTAAAAAGCTAGTCTTCGTGGTAAAATACTCTGACGTGTAACTCATATTTGGGTTGAAATATTTATCTCTTTATCAATGAAACATGATGTTCAGTAGAGAAACACAATGCATCATATCAATTGTTATATAAAACGACCAATATTTTGGCAAAGATTATTGCTTATCAAGCTAACAGTAGAAGAAGAATGCATGTATTCCTTGTTTTTCTACATTTGACTCTGGCCAGAGACTTTCCTTGTGATGATAGTGATGCAGATGAATTCAAATATCACTATTTTGTTGAAGAGTAAAAAGATTTGACTTTTATTTGACAGCAGAGGACAAATTTAGATTCAGCCGATGTCTTTTTATTGCAGAACATTCTATCATTACCATATGTTTTGCAGCTTCAATTACCACTTCCACGTGTGTGCATTGACACATATCCCCTCCTCCTCCTTCTGTCCTTTCTCCTCGCAGACTTCAACCTCTTCCACATGATCGCTGTGGGGCTGAGCAGCTCCGTACTGGGATGTCTGGTCACTTTACTGGTTTACTCTTACTGTCAGCGCTACACCCAGCAGGCGCACGACGCCACCGTCATCCACCCCATCTCAGCGGCTCCGCTCAACACCAGCATCACCAACCACATCAACAAACTGGACAAATACGACTCTGTGGAAGCCATCAAGGTCTGACGTCCACAACACTTCCTTCCTTTAATCACTTTAAAGGTCCCCTATTATACTGTTTTTCATCAATTTATCACAGGTCTCCGATATATACAGAGCCTGTCTCTGATTGGCTGAAACACCAAACAGATCATTGCAGCATCCCATAATCCCCTCTGTTTCAGCCCTGTTTCCAAAGTGCTGATTCTCTGTCTGTTACTTTAGATGAAAATAAGGAGCCCCTCCCCACGCCCCTCTGAGAGAGATTTGGTTACAAAGAACTCAATGGTGCTCTAGGAGGAGATTCAGGTGATAAGGTGGGGGGGGGGGGGGTTACCTTGGTTGGTGATTGGCTAATGGTTACACAAGCCAAAACATCGTTATGACATCATCAAGTGGCCAAAATCTGATCAGCTCATTTTCAGACAGGTTTTTATAGAAATGGATCAGGACAAAAAGAGAGAGAATCTTTGTTCCTGAAACTTTCAGAGTCTCTTTACACAGAGGGGACACATGTTGATGTAGAAGAGACATGAAGAAGAGGGGACACATGTTGATGTAGAAGAGACATGAAGAAGAGGGGACACATGTTGATGTAGAAGAGACATGAAGAAGAGGGGACACATGTTGATGTAGAAGAGGACATGAAGAAGAGGGGACACATGTTGATGTAGAAGAGACATGAAGAAGAGGGGACACATGTTGATGTAGAAGAGACATGAAGAAGAGGGGACACATGTTGATGTAGAAGAGACATGAAGAAGAGGGGACACATGTTGATGTAGAAGAGACATGAAGAAGAGGGGACACATGTTGATGTAGAAGAGACATGAAGAAGAGGGGACACATGTTGATGTAGAAGAGACATGAAGAAGAGGGGACACATGTTGATGTAGAAGAGACGTGAAGAAGAGGGGACACATGTTGATGTAGAAGAGACGTGAAGAAGAGGGGACACATGTTGATGTAGAAGAGACGTGAAGAAGTGGATTTTGCATAATAGGGGACCTTTAATGTCACACACAATAATACAATACAAAGGGGCTTTATTGGCATGACCACATTTTAAAATGCCAAAGCATTCCACAAGTCGTTATAACAAAACAAAAAGAAACACTAAACATAAATGTCAACAATACATGTGACACACACACACACACACACACACACACACACACACACACACACACACACACACACACACACACACACACACACACACACACACTCTCTCTCAGGTGTAGCAGCCTCTTCCTCCAGTCTAACACACTCCTGACTGCATGCCTCCGACTGATAGGCAGCTTTTCTCCGTGTGTGTCTCAGTGTGTGACTTTGTTCTGTGTCAGTGGTCATACACTGCTTTCTCATAACACACTAATGCAATTACTGATAGGTGCGTGGGTAGGCAATCGGATCAGGCGCTCTTGAATCTGCACATTTCCTTTGCTTAGACGGGTTCTCTGAGTCCGGGTTGCATCTGTAATTGCAGACGGTCACGTTGGCAGAGATCCAGATCCTCTCCGGCTACAAACAGCCTCTTATCCTCAGATGCATCGGGCTTTAGTGCCACACTGAGCTGCTGATTAGTGCTTGTCCCACAGCCTCTCTATCTCCAGCTGGCCTTCTTTCAAGGAATACAGTGCTTTGTATTAAAGAACAATTCAATCACACTGGGGTTTCTTACTCAAAAAATAGCTTCACAAGTAACGAATCTGCTAGCATGATTTCAAACCAGTCAAATATGTGCCTCAAAAATGTTCTCTCAAAACACATTTGTGAGATAGTTTAGGCACTAGCAGGCCACGCAAAGACTCTGGCACTAATTGGGCTTCCTGCTGATTAAAAGCTATTGGATGTGCAACTTTTCTAGGTTTTTAAATAGCAGAAAAATATACAAAATAAAAGTTGCTAAGAGCTCGATAAGCTTTAGTTATTTTTGCAACAACTGTTTGCTTTAAATGTTTTGCAGTTTATAATAATACGGTGGCAAATCTGCTTTTTAAAAATGTGTAACGGGTACTTAATGTTGACAAAAGCACATTTTATTTATAGCTAGCTGGGAGATTTCGTTGGGTAATTCCTACGTTATCACGCTCTATAAAACCTTATGACTAGTTTACTTCACCCTTATATAGTGCTAGGTTCAATTGTGTTAGCGGAATATTTAACTGATGAACCAGCACTCTCCCAATTTTGTAGCTAATCAAATGATTGTGAGCTTGAAGTGTTGGTCCTTCCTCCGGCTGACTTTTCATATAACTGGTTTGTGTTATATGTACACTGATAAAGCTGCATGTCCCAGGCAAACGTCAAAGAGGACGACATGTACAGTAGCCTAAAGAAATAGCTTTGTCTTTGAGGTTGAAGCCAGACCAGACTTTTTAAAATCTGAGTATCACTTTCTTTCTAAAGCGCCATTTGCACAACTTCAAAATGTAGAGAAATGAAAAGCTTAACAGACCTTGCATGCTTCAGGCCATAGTTAAGGCTCTTGTTGGACAATCACTGTTCAGGAGTTTAATGAACAGCTTTGTATTACTATAAATATTAGACTTTCCTCTCACCTGTGTTTGATACGCTGTCAAAGCAAGTCTTTAATATCACATATATTACAAACTAAGTACCTGGATCTCTGTTTATAAAAACTACTCCTCAGATATGAAAGTGTTTTGTGAAACTGCCACAGAGTGAGAACAGATCCTTTGGCTCGGAAGCAAACGTCCCGAATGTAATTTAATTTCAGTCAGAATGAAGGTGCGCGGAGCGTTCATCTGTCATGCAATTACAGTCAGAAGCACAAAGCGTAATCCTGTTAGCCGTATTGCAGATAGAGGCGGATATGAATATAGACGGACCGTGTGAAAATACAAAAGGAAAGGCATGACAAATGAACACTAAAAGCACATTCTTCCAATCTTTGCTCACTGACAGTTTGGATATGAAGTGAATTTCCAACCATTAAGTATCTGCACAGCGTTCACAGGGAGGGATGATGAACACCTGATGCCATGTTGGAGGGTTTCTGGCTCAAATCCTGATGTTGATGAGTCAGAATTATTATGCACCCAGACACCCTTCATGCTGGTCTCTGGGCCAACTGGAGTATCTCCAGCAGTCTAGTTTATGATTACACTCTTAAAGTGAAGTTTGTAATGACAGTTGATTATATTTCCAGGCTTCCTGTAACTCAGAATATGGCCTTTAGGGTTTCTTTGAGGATGACTCTTGCCCATTCCTCTCCTCTGCAGCCAGATGTGTCGGTTCTCTTGCCCTTGGACGACCCCGCCATGCACCAGCCTCTCTCTGCTAACATGGGGGTGTCCATGCGTGGCCTGGAGATGTTCTACTAACCTCTACAACATATCGCCTCTTGACTCCCCCTCCCCACAACAACTCTTTGACCCCAACCACTACTACTTCCTCTTCCCCACCGTGCCCCGCCCTTCCACTTCCTGTGTGTGGCAGGTTGGAGTACAGACTCTCTTTCTCTGCTCCCCTTCATCTCCCCATCACCCTCCTCCCTCCCGGCTTGTGAGAAGGCAGTGTATCCCCCCCCCCCTTATTTCTCAAAAAGTGCCTCCATTTGCATGTTTTTTCCATGTTTGTCCTTCTTGTTTCGTCCGCTATTTTTTTTTAACTTGAGAAAGAAAATCCATTGTGATGCTGTTTGATTATGCTCCTCTGATACCTCTCTACCACTTCCCAGCTTAAGCACATTGTGTTTACCGCACAACAACTCAAATGTAATCATTCTTCAGGTAATTACAAACGTAGAAGATGCTAACAAGCGTCGTAGCGCAGCTGTTTAAAAGCAGCCGTGGGGCGTGCTGCAGAGACACGTCATTGCATCCCCTTTGGGTGCAAATCACATTATGAAAACGACGCAAATATATGAGTTTTTTTGTCCAGCATCTCGTTCCCTATCAGTGTCAGTCGGAAACATTCATCAACGGCAAATGCAGCATCATCAAGCGTTCAATTACTCTGCCCCGAGGGACAGCAACACACTGCAGACGAACACATCCATTTGCCAAATTGCTGATGTTGTATTGAGAAGCACATCAGAAGCTCATTACATGTTTACTATGTCACGCAGGGACAGAGAAGATGCCTCCATGGCTCTTCCTTATTGTTGAACAGGAAGTAGACTCTTGATTGATTTGTGTAGCTTAAATAGTCCCAGAGGACCCACAATGCAGAGGGGGCCATGAAACTGCGGAGGTATTAGAGATGACAGAGGTGGACGTACAGACGCACATCAAAATAACTTGTGATGGCTTATCATTTTTTCCAGCCTGTTTGCCAATGCTTTGACCTCGCTCTGTGAAAATGTATGTTTCATTCACTGAGCGGCCTCCCATTGATTTGTGTTGCTCCCTTTTTCTTTTTCTTGTTGAGAACGATGGATTTGCTTTTACCTTGCCATCTAGGCTGAATAATCACGTGATGCATGTGTCGCATTAGTCCAGACTGACTCTTTTTTTCTTTCCATCCACAGGCCTTCAACAAAAACAATCTGATTCTGGAGGAAAGAAATAAGTACTTTAACCCTCAGCTTGCCGGGAAGACCTATACCAACGCATACTTCACCGACCTTAACACCTACGATGATTATTAAGCCGGATTCGGCCCTTCAGACTCTCCCCTTGTCATCCATTTTAGTTTTTTGTGCTTTGTATTGAGATTTGTGACACCATGTGCGGGACATTCCCACTCTCAGACTCTACGGCAGCTGTATAATGAAAACAGACACACAGTGTTGCCACAGAGGGAAATCCCACTTCCTCTCAGGTGCCTTGGGGTACACTCGGAAAACGACATTTTTTTGGGACAAATCTTGCCTTGACTCTCGCTGAGAAACTGGAAGAATACGAGCAAAGAGACTTCGGGGAATGGGATCCCCTTTTAACTTTCCTGTGACGCCTCTCAAACAGACCTGTATTTGTAACGATGGGAAATAACCACAAACTGCTTTTGCATGACCTCATCTGACGTGTTTTTTCTGTTTTGCATGGTTGATTGCATTCCTCGGTTAAAAGACTTGCAAGCAGTTTATTTTTAGCTGGTTTTGGAAGTCATAACAACAAAGACTGTGGAGATGTCTGACGGCTTTTACGATGTCCTGCTGCAGCAACCCAAAAGTCCTAAAATCAGGATGTAGATATTTGAAGTCTGTGGTTGAGTTTGTCCATTTTTCTTTCTGTTTCAGGCTCTCGCGGCTCGCAGTATTTGATCACTCAGTTTATTTTGCCTTCTCTCTTTTTTTAAAGCTTTTTAAGGTGCATATGTTTTGTACAGGATGTTAAGTTTGAAGCCTATGTCTGTAGTTTGTTTAATACATTTACTCAATGTCTCAAGTAAAGAATAAAACATGTCCTTTTAAAAAGAAAAAGCTTATGTGCATTCTGACAAAAGAAATCAGGAGTTATCATATCAGCCGGCATCAAGCTCACCGTACTTTTTTATATTTTTTTGTAAAATGTTTTTGAATTTTGATAGTGTTCGCTATTCCTTTGGCTTCTGAGTTAAAAATGTAATTTGTGAGAGCAGGATGTTCATAGCATTTACTGTACAGACGGAGCGTAGCAAATACTACTCTCCCAACCTAGAGTGCTACCCATTTACTGTAAGATGAAACTCATTCATCAAGTTTCTGTTTAACCAAATATGAGGTTATTCAATGGTTCAGTTGCAACTAACTCTTTTTACATGTTTGCTTGTGTTACTGTGCATAAATTAAAGACTGCTTCGTACACAAATGACTTGTCAGAGTGTGAGTTATAGGGATTAATTGTCATTTGCACAGCTCTCGACAGCTCTAATGAATGACGTGATGGAAGTGAAAAGATCCTCTCTCCTGTCTGCTTTCTCTGACATCTTTGGAGACTTTGTTCCTCGAGCAAAACGCTGAAAAACCACCGCACCGTGAGCACATAAATCACCCGAAACCAGAGCTAAAGACTCCCTCTGCACGGGTTTTTAAAGGAGTCTTCAGCTCTGCAGTGACAAATGGCTCCAGCAGCAGTGGAAGGATACCTGAAGGGTACAGATCACGTCAGGCGGCGGGGTAAAGGTGGAGCCTGGAGTCCAAACGCTCATCTGTATGACGGGCTGTAGCACTAAACACGCTGCTGTTCTCCATCAACCTTCAACCTGACGTCCCATCTGTGTGCGGAGGGTAAATGAGGGGGGTGTTATTATTAATCACCCCGGTGTTTTGTCAGTGGGCGGTGAGGAGGGGGAGAAGCTGATCCAAGAAAAGCACTGCTAGACGATCTTTAATATGATGTTATCACGATGCAATCTTCTTGCAATTTTACACATTTTGCGATACGGTGTCTTTTGATATATTACAATTTATTAGCTTTTTCTCTAATGCAAATTACGCCATTTGTCATCGTCTGTGTTATCTAATATGGTAAAGACTATAAGGATAACTTTTGAAAGTGCATTTCTGATTTATTTAACTTTTGACCAGCTTCCTGCCAATCCTGCTGACCTCGTTTTTCAAAATCTAAGCACCCTCGAATCACCTAAAAAATTATTGTTACCAAAAATTGCATTTGCAACTTTATAAATGTCTATTTTAAAGTTTGATCCTTGCCACCCAACATATTGCGATCTCATGCTATGATGTACTTTCCTCTAACCCTAGAGGACAGTGGGTGCATGTGTGTATGTGTGTATGTACGCATTTCCAGTTTTGGTTGGTAAAGTAATAACTATTAGGGTTATGGTGCTCAAAGACAACCCCAGATTCACTCGCTTTGTGAACGAGATATGTCCACTTGTTTCGTGTCTCCTTTTCTCTTAGATGCATGGTCACGATTCGGCACCTTGTCACTACGTTTTTATTGAGGTTGACTCGCAGAAATGCCACAAAAACAGCCAAAAGGGAAAGAGAAATTATAGGCAGAGAGCAGGGGATGATTGAGGGGTTTTATTTCTGTGAGTCTGTACATTGTTGGTTTAAGGATAAGTGGTGTGAGCAGCTGCATTTCTCTCTCAATATTGGTTCTCCTCACAACACTAAACTTTGATTGATGAATCATCCTCGTACATAATGTACATTTCCCACACACACTCCAGTTCTGCTGCTTCCTTCAGCACTTTGCAGAAACATGAGCTATGTGACATTCCTCTTTGACAGCGAGGCTGAGGACAATAAATGACTTTTCCCAAAGTGCTAAAGGTCACAGCTAAAGGTCAGGAGAGCAGGGCTCGTGCCTGTCGGAGACACTGAGTGTGAGAGTGTTTGTGTGTGTATAAAGAAGTCAAAGTGTCATGAGATGTGAGTCTCGGGATGATACGGACTACCGTCTGCTTATGTTTATGCATGTAGGAGGTTTCAGTGAAATGGCAACAGCAAGGAAGACTGTAAATCTCAGCAACTATCAGGATGGATTGTAAACAATTTGATATACAGACATTCATGTTCAGTACAGGATGCATCTTCGTGACTTCGGTGGTCCCTGACTGTTCATCTATACTTTACTTTATGCCAGCAAAACGAAGCTGTAGTGTCACTAGTGTATGTGTCTACATTGTATACAAGAAGGTGAGAACCATATCTTAAAGTATTGCTATACAGTCAATTTGCTGAAAAATGTACAAATGAACCAGACGAATCTAGTGTATTAAAGCTCTCCTACCACGGCCATTTTCTAAACGCCTGTCTGACTGACACCCATGTGATGTGATTTGAATATAAAATGCGTTTGCTATTAATAGTTTTGCCCAAATATGAGCCAGGCTCCTCTGTGCATATAACCATTCTGCTCATGATGCATTCAGGGGCTCAGCTAATTAGCAGGCTGTATACAGAGGCCATTGAGTGGCAAACAAGGTGAGTGAGGGAGATAGTTGCTGTCAGGCAGGTAACAGAGCGTGAACATCCCATTAAACACCTCTGTTTCCTCTCGAGACCACAACTTCTCTCACTCTCATGGATCACCGTGCTTTAGTCCGGCCTATAGGCGCCTCTCTGAGCACCAGTACAGTAGAGATGGCAAAAGTACACACATCCTTTACTCAAGTAGAAGTACAGATACTCGTGTTTAAAAATACTCTGGTAAAAGTAGAAGTACTGACTAAACTTCTTTACTCAAGTAAAAGTAAAGAGGGCTTTGAAATGTACTTCAGTAAAAAGTACCCATAACTAGCAGCTGTTTTAAAGAGTACCTGACCTCCCTTTATATTAATAGAACAATAATGTCATTGTTAGCTAATGAATGTTTCCATGCTGAACAACGGCAACATGACAACGTTTTCATTGGTCCCTCTTCTTTAGAGAAGACCAGGAAATGATGGATACACGGATCGTGTTCAAATCAATAGGCACGCAATGACTCTAAATAATAATGATCACGCCACCAAACACACATTCAAACTAAAGGAACCAGCCTGTTTGGGAAATGTAAGAAGTAGAAAGTACAGGTATTTGTGTTCAACATGTAAGAAGTAGAAAGTACAGGTATTTGGGTTCAACATGTAAGAAGTAGAAAGTACAGGTATTTGTGTTCAACATGTAAGAAGTAGAAAGTACAGGTATTTGGGTTCAACATGTAAGAAGTAGAAAGTACAGGTGTTTGTGTTCAACATGTAAGAAGTAGAAAGTACAGGTATTTGTGTTCAACATGTAAGAAGTAGAAAGAACAGGTATTTGTGTTCAACATGTAAGAAGTAGAAAGTACAGGTATTTGTGTTCAACATGTAAGAAGTAGAAAGTACAGGTATTTGTGTTCAACATGTAAGAAGTAGAAAGTACAGGTATTTGGGTTCAACATGTAAGAAGTAGAAAGTACAGGTATTTGTGTTCAACATGTAAGAAGTAGAAAGTACAGGTATTTGTGTTCAACATGTAAGAAGTAGAAAGTACAGGTATTTGTGTTCAACATGTAAGAAGTAGAAAGTACAAGTGTTTGTGTTCAAAATGTAAGAAGTAAAAGTAAAGTACAGTAACAAAGTATTTGTTACTGTACTTCTTCCCACCTCTGATCTACACAAATGCCTCGAAAATGATATTGCTGTCATCCAGTGCCGGTGGTTAACGCAGGCAAAAACTACTCTGTCATTCTCCGTGGGGGTAATCAGAAGAAGTTATGGAGTCTGGGATGAGACCCCACGCTCTGAAAAATGCTTTTAGGGAGAAACCCTGGTGATGAATGCATGCTGCTGCGTTGTGTTTGTGTGAGATCTGAGAATTGATGGAAGGAGATGTTGACTAAACAACCCCAGGGAAGACTGAAGACTACTGAACAATTTATGAGCTGTCATGAAGTGTTTTTTTTTTTTTTGCAGGAGGCAAATAACAGTGATTACCAATGCCTGTCATGCAGTGAGATCTTTGGGCAGTGGGGGGTAAAGTTAGTGCAAAATCATCACACTTTATATGAGATTCTCTTCACAGCATATCATCATGTAGGTAAAGCTAACCTCACATTGATTCCCACCTGAGGGCGAAGCACTGTGGATGTTGTTACTTTCAGACTTTAAATAGATTCCTTAACTCTCCACAGATGTATCGGAGCATCCCCTTAAGTATATTTTTCTCCGTGTATGTTTTGAAGCAAACATTCCTTAATGCAGCTTCAGTCCACATTAAAATTATATTCAAAGCGACCACATGAGACTGAGAGAGGATTTTCAAAGCTGCTTTAAGATAAATATTTTTCTTCTAGGAAAATGTGTTTTGCTGCTCGTATCGAGAACCTACGCTCATTAGGTTAGTTTTAATTACGTTAATTAGTTGTTTCAAATGTTTTACAACAGAGAAACATTTGTATTTATTCTAAATCCTTGATAATTTGTCAACCTATTTCTTCCAAATTTGGTGTTTTCATGAGCTTGAAGTTGAAATAAGGGAACAACATATACGCTTTAACAAAAGATCTGTTGTGTTTTATTAAGATCAATATTGTTCTTCTAGGAAAATGTGTTTTTGCTGCTCACATCTAGAACCTATGCTCATGACGTTAGGATTTTCTGTTTGTGTGACTCTCCAAGTTCTCCATTAGTTCTAGTTTTCTGCACACACTCTGCTTTTCTCTCCCTCCCAGACAGAAGGAAGTTGCAGTGATATGTGGGCCGACAGGAAGCCGTCTCCACGCTGCCAGCCTGAAGGATGAATGTCACCGAGGCGCTAATGCCAGTCGAGAGATGCCTCCATAGATTCAACCCCCGAGACATCTGGATCCCCAGGTGCCGCTCTGCAGATCCAGGACCAGCTGCAGGAAGCCAGAAGCCCTCCAAATGCCAACTGGAAACACAGCGGCCAAAACCACACTGCGGCTTATCGGCTCCACCACAACCCTTTATGGGCCTATTCACCTCAATCAAAGCTGTTATTTAGGTAACGAGCCAAAATGGCGGATGTTGCTGTGCTCCAATTACCCACTATGTCTCCTCCGTGTCTCCCTGCCAGATTCCCCACAAACCCTGCTTCTCCTCGGCCAGCTGCTCTGGCGCTGATCCGTGTCCTCGCTATCCGAGCGGAGGGAGACCTTTCCGAACAGAAGGCCTCTGTCAGCGCTGGATCCGCTCCCTGAGGCCATCGATGACTGTCAGGTCTGTTCTGCAGCTCTTATCTACGAGGGAAGGTGTGCAAAGTCAGAGCCAAAACTGGTGTCTAATGGACCAACGTGGAGGTTTTGAATGACGTTAGTTAGATAGTTAGTTGTTTCAAGTGTTTTACATCAGAGAAAAATTCTAATTTATTCTAAATTCTTGATCATTTGTCAACCTATTTCTTCCAAA